TGGTAGGGTGGTGCCCCGTTTCAAGGACAATCTTCCTGATTAAGAGTTCGCATATAGCTTTTTGAAACGACATTCGCATATGCTGTCGGAGAGAATGTGCCAAAATATAAAACGAGCCCGGGCTGGTGTTACGAGGATAACAATAACAGAGTATTTCGAACGCCTTTCTGAAGAACTAGAAGGTATTCCAGCCAGCAACATCATAAACTACGATGAGACCAACCTTTGCGATGACCCAGGACGAAAAAAAATTATTGCAAAGAGGGGATGCAAATATCCGGAGCGAATTAGGAACCACAGTAAGTCGTCAACTTCAATCATGTTCGCTGCTTCTGGTAGTGAAGATTTACTTCCATGCTACGTCGTCTACAAAGCCTTGAACATGTATGACTCTTGGACTACTGGAGGGCCACCCCGTACAAGATATAATCGTAGTAAATCGGGATGGTTTGACAGCTATTGTTTCGAGGATTGGGTACATTCAATCGCCATACCATACTTGAAGAAGTTGCCTGGCAAAAAGATATTAATTGGTGACAATTTATCGTCGCACCTATCAGTACAATCGATACAAGAGTGCTCAGTGAACAATCCCACATAGCAATTGTACATGCTTAGCACATGTACAGAATATTCCAGACAAGGAAAAGTATATGCTAGATATGTTCCAAAAAAGCATTGCGCACATCCACAGTACATCCTGAGTATATGTTACAGACCCACCGTAACAGATGTTAGGTATGTGCTTATAATATCCTCAAGTATGTCCTAGTCACAAGCTCAGCATGTACTGAACGCATATCCACAGAATATGCTCCAAATGTACCTACTATATTCTTCAGGAATGTACATATCATGGGTTATTTATATTCATGACATATGCCTTGGCACATCTATAGTGTATAAATAGTATATGACATGAATTCCACAAATATGCGACAATAGTGTCTGTTTCAATATTAAATAGAACAGGTAAAAAGTTAGTGTAAACGCTTTTTGCGGGGACCCTGTAGTATTTGCAATTGATCTGACCAAGCGTACAGTTAGCTAGGAATCCTATCCAAATGTGCAATTAGTCACAACGATCGTAAATACCACAGTGTGGTCGCAAAAAGCAATTCCACCTGTTACCTGCTGTTCTATTTAATTTTGGGACAGACATCAGATTAAGCTGACCTACCTTTCTTCTTTTGCTGGGACACCTTTTGTCCTAGCGAAAAAACTGTCTTTTCACACTCATAGGAACAAATAATTATAACTGGAAATTAGGCTAAAAAAATAAAATGCTAACAAACTCATATGAACATATATTTAAAAATGCTTTTCAATATTACAAAAAATATGAAGTGTGTAAATAATGCATGGAATGAATAAAATTTGCAACAGTTTCAGCAGACTTGAATGTGAAATTCTTTCTTCCACAGCCCAAGAGCTTGAATGGGAAACAAACCTGGGAGAAGGAGTGTCAATGTTTGGGAAAACCACAATTTAGCTGCTGGAATAGGCAGCCATAAGTGTCTCAACCCTAAGATTTTCCTGAATTATTTTTAATTAGTATAATTATAAACCTAATTTACATTCTCACATATGGGGTAAACAATATCGAAATAAAATATTAACAACTACCTATACTTACCTTATCTTCCAGTTTTTTCTGTGAAAGAAAATGGAAAAAATAAAGAAATCACTGAAAACATACACAAAAACAAAGGCCATAACTGCCACAAAAGATCTTTTGACTTTTGTGAACAAAATAAAACAGACGAAGCCGCGAGCACGCACGTACTGAGAATCGAGATAACCCAGAATCAAAAAAGAAACTAGAAAGAATGGAAATCTTAAATTGAGAAAATTACAATAATTAAAATGAAAATGTTTGATGTGAAATGAAGACGAGCCTGTATAGGTTAGGTTGGCAACTGAGAAGAAAAAAGCGCGAGCGCGGCGTGACAGTTGACAGCGATTTTAAACTGGAACGTAGCCTATGTTTCAATATCCGCGAATGGTATTTTATTATGAGATTAAAATATATCTGAGTCTAGCGAGAAGGCATTTCTTATTAAATTAAAAATCGAGGATTTCTCATCATTCAATAAATTTTATAAGCGCTGTTTGCACCTGCGCGAATTGACGCGGTAGGTGTGTTAGAGAGAATACACTTTTAGAATATTCTTAACACATGTTACGAATGTACTCGAGAGAATATCTGTACTTTTAAAATTCATATTATTATGATAATAATTATTACTTACATTTTCATAAAATCTATTGAAATAATTACTTATTTCAGTTTTTGATGGGATAATATCTAATTTTTGTTTTATTTAAAATATGCTTTTTCGGATGTACCTGGCATATACTTCGAATATACTTGAAGTAAGTGTACTTTTTATGTTCCTTTTCCGAATATGCTCAACATGTGCGCTAAGGAATATTTCAATTGCTATATACTTATCATATGCTATACATTTACTGAAAAGAACATTCCTAAAATATATATAGTAAGCACATGCTAAGCATATACCTTAAAGAATGTCCTTTAAGGAACACTGAGCGCATATACTCAGCATGTGAATGTTCTTTCAATGTTATGTGGGATATTACTTTTATATTTTTACCCAGCAACTCCACCCACTTGACGCAACCCTTAGATGTTGCCTTTTTCAAGCCATTGAAGGTTGCATGGAGAAAGATTGTTGAATTCTATAAAAAAGGACCTGGAAGAAAGGAATCTGGTATTCCTAAAAACGTCTTTCCAGGTTTATTAAGGAAGCTATTAGAATCGATTGAAGACAACAAATCTAAAAATATAATGGCCGGATTCGATAAATGCGGCATTATACCTTTAAATGCTGATAGGGTATTGAACATGCTGCCTGTGGAGAATCCAACGAATGATAGGGAAGATGACATAAACACTTCATTTGTTCACATTTTGAAGTCGATGCGGTATGATGAAAATCAACCTAAACAACGAAAGAAAAAACTCCATGTACCTGCTGGAAAAAGCGTAGCAGTTGATGATTTTGAGTCTTCTGGCGAAAGTAGCCAAAATTTTAGCACTCACGATTCAAATTCAGATATGGATCCCATGTCCGAGTTTGAGGAGGAAATTGATGGAAATTCTGATGGTGCTGAAGAAGAAGACATTGTTCTGCCATCTGCTGACCTTCACATTTCGAATAGTTCACCCCAACCAGCAATCTCACATGGTCTCTTGCCCGTCACCAAGGATGACATTGATATTGGTGACTGGTTACTCATAAACTTACCTTATTTCTCCAATGACAAAGTACCAAGTACATCCAAGGCCTTTATATATAGCTCAAGTTGTAAAAATAAACAAGGACGGGTACGAAGGAAGCTTCTTACGCGAAAAAACTACAAGAGACTATTCAGGATATGTTTACACTTTTCCAGATGTGAAAGACGAGTACGAGTTCACTTTCCAACAAATTGCTGGAAAACTGAATCCTCCGGCAAAATATGGAAGAGGTCTTATGAGATTTGAAATTCGTTTATGTGAATATAATAAACAATTTAAATAGATTTTGCTGTTAGATAATACATATACCTGTTAACATGTACTTGTATCAATAAAAAAATGCGTTTGATCCCTGTTTTTGAGTGAAAAACAAAAAAAAAAAGAATCTGCAGAGTTCACATATAAAATTTCTGCAATCCTATACACCCCACAAGAAGGTGAATACGATAAGGCATAATAAGATCATTGCCGATCCTATTCACCACAATGGCAGGTGAATAGGATCAGCCAAAAAAAAAAATATATATGGACAACAAGTCGGCATAAAAAATATTGGAACTCAAAAATGGATAGCCCAGGTATAGACTGATGTTTTGATATGTACATCAGAATTTTCACTCTATTACTTTGGGAGAGGCACCACTTCAAAGTATAAAAGTGATCCTATTCACCCCATTCTACGGTACCTATCGGTACTGCCAGATTTCTAAAGTTGCTCCATTTTGATACTAAATTGTATGATTTTCCCTTATGTTCGAAAAATCTAGTTGTATCTATAAGAAAAGTAGGCACTTATTAGATATTTTATTGAATGATATCAACATAAATATTTTTTCTTACCAAATTAGTAGATAGAATTCACAAGCGAATCCGTGAATTTCTCTTGAAAGCTATCCATCCTGACTTACCCTTCAGGTCCGAACACTCCGGACGAATTATTCACTAATCATCAGTAATTAATCTGGATTAATACCAATGGAGGCGGCGTTTCAAAAACGTTAATATGGAGAAGTCCGTATTCCGTAAAGTTTCACCTGTTTGTCTGGTGTCTGCACTAGACGAGGGCGATATATCTACTGGTCTGGATTCGACCACGGCAAGGAAAATCAATATAAGTTTCAAATTTTGTATGCAATAATGGGTAAATCCAACAAAAAAAAAGCATTTTGGACAATAATTTTGTAGATGTAGCAAATCAGAGGGTTGACTTTAAATAAAATTTTGTTAGTTAACAAATTTCTTTGGTTGACTTTAAATAAAATTTTGTTAGTTAACAAATTTCTTTGGTAACTTAACAACATTGTGGTTTAAATCTACCATTAAGTAATGGTTAAAAGCAATTTAAACAATTTCTAGTTTGGTTTGATGAAGCCGTTTAACAAAAAAACTGTTAGTGAACTAAATAATTGTTAAATTTGCCTAAAATATCATTGTCACTAAACAAATAAAATTGGTTAAATATCCCATGCATTAATAAGTGAAAATTCATTAAACATTTACTGGTTTGGTTTGACAAACTTTAACAAAAAACTGTTAGTGAACTAAATAATAGTTCAATTTTCCCAAAATATTATAGTCACTTTTAACAATTAAATTTGTTAAATATACCATCCAATAATGGGTAAAACTGAATTAAACATTTTCTGGTATGGATTGACAAAATTTAACAAAAATCCTGGTTAGTGAGCAAAACAATAGTTATAATATCTATTTTTTAAGTTAAATCAAGTTTTGTGTCGCAACAATTTTTTATTGGTAGAAATAACTTTCAAGCTCTGATTAAATTAAACAGATTGTAGTTTCATTTGACAATATCATCGGATTTGTTATTCAACAAATTTTTGTTGTTGAATCAACCCATGTAATTTTTCTGAGTGCAGTGAAGAGCTGTTTTCTGGCAGTACGGTGGGCGCTGCTGATGCCGTGAGAGTCTAATTGTCCATTTTCTCATTCTCTCATTCTCCGTGCTTCGAGAAGCGCTGGCACTACAACGTTATTGCCAAGCTTGATCTACGGTGTTGATAAATCAGGAATGAAATATAAATAACAAAGAAAGAAAACTGCTAACTGGCCGAAAAAGATATTTAATCATCAGAAGGAAACAGGGCTCTTACAACTTTTAAAATTAACATTGCAAATTTTATTAAATAAATTGACTTTATATTACCCAAACCTCTTAAAACGTTGACTGCCGATCACTCCGATCGGAGTTTACTGGCACCTATCGGTGACGCCAACTACTCCGATCGGCGTGCTATACATGCTCAATTTGTGAGTCTATATTCAGTAGGCGTTGGCGAGAGAATCGCAGTCGCTCCGGCGTCCTTCTAAATGCATTTCTCCAGCACGTGTTTAAGTTGGTTACGCGTTTTTTATTTTTTGTGTCGCTAAACATGGATACCAAACAAAACGAATAAAACAACGGCGTCCTAGTCTACGTGTTAAGAAACCGTATCTGAAAGCGAGTAGTAAAAAAATCATGAAAATATAATGATATCGGTTTTATTACAAATATCCCTTTCATTTATGCATTATTTTCTTGTGCTTCCAACTCCCTATTTGCCATCAATAATAGAGGATCATTATACAGAGCATTTTTTTCCATGATACTCCAGTAAGTTTCAAGATCCGCCGGTTTAGCATATCTTAATACAGGATCTCCTTCACATGATGGGTGTCCTTCCAGCTCTTTTTGTATCATTTCTTCTATAATCCTTTCTTCTTCAAGTTCCTTTTAAGAAAAATATTGATATTATCAAGAATAGTAATTATTCAACTAAGAAATCTTACGTCTTCCCTCAGTTTTTGCAACATTTTAAGTTTTTTTCTTTCAAAGAATCCTGCCTGAAAAAAAAAAAAAAAAATAATGATAATTAAACTATTTCAATAAATTATTAGATAACATACTTTTCCAAGTCCCATTGAAAGACATATCAAAATAACTAAGCCAGCTACAGCAGAACCTACTAAAATCCATAGGGAAATTACAAAGTCTTTGTAAATAGATACTATGTTCTCTAAATGAGTAGAATCAGATCTAAAAGAAATATTTATTTATGGCATTCATTTTCAAATTATTTCCAGCAATCTAGATATTTGTTTTGTGCTAATTTTTTTTTATAATATTCTTACCTATTATTTCCACCATCGATAATAAAGTCACTGCTAAAAACCGAGGCACTACTGGTAATAATCACTTGGTCAATATCCGTTGTCCACTCTAAAATACATATTATGGAAAATACAAAATATTAATCAACAAGACACACAACACACCTTTGTCCAAATTTCCATCGAAACTTCTGAAATCAACTTCCATCTCTATAGAAAGTTCAGCGTGGTTTTGGGAACCGTCAAAAGGACCTACTGTGCATTTTATAGATGTGCAAGTGACGTTTGTCTTATTACAATGCAATATTAATAAATTTAAGGGAATGGTGGAAGTTGATTCTCTTCTGATTGCTTGAAATGGAATAGAATTAATTTTTTCTAGGGAATTCTTCGCAGGCTTCTGACATGTAATTGGAACGTTTTCAAGACTTGTATCGTTTTGTTCGAGGATTTTTACAATTTGGGCAAATTTTCCTTTAGAGTTTTGAATTTGAGTTGGAACCAATATTTCTACATCAACTGGTGAAGTAGGGCTGATTCCAAATTTTTGTATCTAGAAATTACAATTAAGTTTGGATTGTGAAAAAATAATAAAATAAAAAAGACAAATATGTAGGTATCTTAGAATTAAGATTGACCAGTTTTTTAAGCAATTTACCTTGAAAATATTTTGGATCAAAGTCGGTTTGCCTTGCTCATAAATATAGCTCGATTCATTCGAATACCTGAATATATAAAATTAGTATTAATCAATTTAGTCCAAGAAAAATTACTCACCCTTCTATAAAAAGATGAGCATCTCGTTTTATCTTCAATATCAAATTATAAGTACTTTTGTCACTATGATGTTTAGTTATTGTGGATGCTTTGAAACTAAAATTCAATTCATTGGTATCTTCTACATCTATCACCAACTTTAGTACATAATTCGCCTTAAAAAAATATTCATAAATAAACAAATTAATGCGATCATAATAGAAATTATAGATAGGTACCATATTTTTATGTTTTTCCATTTCGGTTTTACTCTCCAGTATTTCCCGTTCACATCTAATAATAAGGCCATCATTTCCTCTAGTTTGACAATCGGCATGGCCTGTGCTAAGGCTCGCGCCGCTTGGTAAAAGTATTTCCAAGAATGGAGAAAATGCTGCGTCTCCATTGTTGGTAACATTCACTTCTAAAGTTAGTAGTTCTTTGGAGCCGAGAATGAATGTGTTTTTTTGACTACAAAATATGAAAATTTAGAAAGTCTGGGATAATAGGCAAGGACGATAAAAATACTGGTAGCTTCTTAATATTAATGTAGATGCTGACTTTTAGTCAAATCAGTGTCGTTTACTCAATTGTGTTATGGTTTTGCTGATCAAATCTGAAGATGTATTCATTACAATTTAATCAGCAGTAAATAGAACTAAAATACATATTTCTATGAAAAAAATTTCTTCTTCATTGGCCGTAAAAGAATGCAAATACTGGCTGTAGACATCCGAAAATTTCTTGGAAAAATCTAATAACGGCAGATAGAAGAAACTAACTGACAGTGAGAAGCTCAGTCTCTTAGTTAGATTTATGTTACACAATGTTTTCGAGTGAATGCGATAAATTCGATAAAGGGATTCTTGAAGGAATTTACTGTCAAGCATGATCATGAAGTTTCTGCCAGACACGTTCTGAATACTAGAAAGCAACAATCATCCAACACTAGCGCTTAGTAGGTTCAATCTCCAAAACTTCTTGAGCAAAACTGCAAAACAGTCAGTGCAGATTCATACAGAGACGATCGTATAAGAGACGCTTTCATTATTGATTTAAATCAAAATAAAATTCGTCATAGAATTTTGGTGACTCAAACGTTAACATTAGAAGCAATAAATAAATCGCGTAGGTACTTTGGAAAAAGCCAAGAAGCAAACTTAACAAGTTTTTATCGCCATTGTCCCGAAATAAATAGGGCATTAGATACCTACAATCTGCAGCTACTACATCACATCTATGGTGAGATTTTCTTTTTGCGAAAATCATCATCACATAGAAATCAAAGTTTGTTTTAGTTGATGTATTCTCGAGAATTTCATTAAGTTGTACAATAGACAAAATATTCCAACTACAAAGATTTGTCATGTCATGTGTCCTTCGGCCTTCGGGCATTAATATTGTTATAGTTACTGTTTGTTTCACAAGGGCTTGTACTTTTGCCTTCCGTTTTCAACAAATGAAAATTGACTGGAACAAATTAATGACGTCAAAAACGTTCGTCGGTTTTTTTAATTGTGTCCAAAGACGCATGAATAAAAATATATGAATTAATCTACGATAAACCTTTTTTTTCAAGTTATACCGTTATCGATGTCATAAGTACAAACCTTCGTGAAATGAACTTTATGTACACTTGGCCAATCATAAAACTGGTACGCATTTTCCTATTGTGTTGTGTCGTGTAAAGCTACCTTTTTTATCACCTTAACAATGACAAAAAGAGTCAAGTCAGTGTAATATTTAAACCAATCATAACATAAAAACATGTTGCATTTACTTTTGTTTATCTTTGACGTTGACAAAAACTGTCTGACCTGAGTTTTTCAGAAGAGACTTTTTGTTGTTAAGCCTGTCTCACACGAGGCAAATTTAAAAAAATATACATTGCCTGTACCAGTTTTATGTTTGGCCAAGTGTACAGTTGTGAGCATAAAAAGTGAGACGCCCGTTTTTTCCTATTGTAAAATGAGCTCATCAGCTATACCTACGGCAATAACAGGGATTGTCATATTTGACAAAAAATCCAGTGTAGAGAAAAGATTGATTTACCCAAAATAGCGAAAAATGACCAGACCTGTTAATCGGGTGTCTCACTTTTTATGCTATTACGTGGCAAGACGGGCACTGCCACTTTGTTACCCGCAAAACGTAACGGAGAAGTCAATATTAAGATTTTGAGGAGGTGGGAAAGTTAATGGGTAACTAAAAAGAAAAAAAAATAAAAAGAGAAGAGAGAGAGTTGGTTGGTGGCTGAAATCTAGAAACGTGATTTCGTGTAAAGGGTTGCCGACTAGCTTCCAATGCGGAGAGGGGTGTGGGTCAATCAAATAACTAAATATAGAGCGCCACCTGCTTTTTCCCTGTAGTACACGAAATCAACCGATATAACGAAAGCAGGAAACTTCTACGGACCTATAGCAGCACAACCTGAAATATAAACGCGAACAAGAAGGAAGGACAAAAGTGAAACGCTTTGCTACAATCAGGTACGGGTTTTAATTAGATCCAGAAATGTAAACCAGAACAGGTTGACTCTAGAGCAGGTTCGAAGTGGGTTTTCCGAACGCCCTGGAACACTGAAAATTATTTAAAGTTTGTTTTTTTTTTAAAGATAATTCCCCAAGTCAAAAATTTAGTAACTATGTTGGCAACACAAGCCTTTTCTACATAAAAAATTTGAATGCATTGACTATTTTACATTGTATTGCCAACATAATGTCATTTTGACTTTTATCTTTAAAAAAAAACACACTTTACACTGGAACCAGACCAGAACAAGAAAAGAAATCGTCTAACCATATGTTCTTAAAATAGTATTTATAATAATTATTAATTACACTCAACTTGAGTCCCTAAATAAAAAAAAAATAAAGAGTGATAACAATTAACAGCAATAATACCTGAAATATTTAATTAATAAATAAGCTCACTTAATGCAGTACCTTCGTAAATGGCCATTTAACCCGTGTACAAGTATTTCCTGTATTTAGTGCAGCATGTATTTATGGGATAGTTATAAGAGAAATATAGATCAATAATTAAAGTTGAAGTAACAATAAATAGCCTGAGGGGCAAATTTAATATTATGGAATAATATAGATGGTCTAGGTAAATACCTACTTAAAATTGAAGTACCTAACAGTACATAACCTGAATGGTAAATTTCATATAATAAAGGTAATAATTAATTGAAACTGAAATAACAACATCTAATTTGAAGGATAATTTAATATTGTCGTAGAACTGCGTTGTTGTGGTGATTTACTCCAACAAGGGGTTGGTAAGGTTTGATATTAAGACAATACAACACACTTATCAAACCTGAGTAGTCCCTAAACTCTTGGGGAGAACCTGACAGGTGGGATCAATATCTTCCAGTGTTTCCAATGGCCTGGGACTGGATCAGGGCCGCAACAAGAAGCCACTGGCCCTGGGCACTGAAGTTCAGTAACAAGGAGTCACTAAAGCTTCCAATGGTCCAGAGGAGGCTGACGATTGGAGGTACTACTTGAGACACACAGTAAGCTCAACGTTTACTCAAGTTAAGGACTAAGCGTGACGAATAAAGCGTAACGTCTAAGACTGAAGTTTAAAGTGTAAATTCTAAAGGTGATGAATAAAGCGTAACGTCTAAAGGTGAAGATTAAAGTGTAACTTCTAAAGGTGATGAATAAAGGCCTGAAACAAATGGACGTTATGAGACAGGGCGTAGAGCAATAGGTAGGTATGTTCAATATCCGGAATTTAACCATATAATTAACAGAAAATTATGCTTTTACATAGGCAATAGAGAAACACAGAGAAGACTAATAAGAAAAACGACTTACCAAAATTACTTTGGCCTTTAGGAACAAACAATTGGTCACGTTGCTCTTTTTCGACTCACAAAAAAATCCGCACAAGGCGATTGGGTGCTAAAATAACGGATTAGGCACCCTAGATCTATGAGCGAAAACTAGACAACTCAGAAAATCGGCAAAATGTGCCTGAGGAATTTTCCCGAACACTTAATCGTGGAAAGTCCTCGACCTGAATGACCTCTGCTTGTCCCTGCAATGTCCTTTAAAAAGGTTCTGTCAAAACTCCAAGGTGGAAGGTACTGGGGAATTTTGATGGTAGTTGTGGGTGGCATGGGACTTATTCAAATTAAGTTAGTACCGGTCATTGACTCTATTTGGAGCGCTGTCAATCTAGACAATCTACTCCGATCGGACAATCAGCTGTTCTAGTGTAAATATTGTGATTTTGTTTGTTAATAAATTAATTGTCCATTTCTTTTAACCCTACTAACAGGAAATCAATTCCATTAATAAACCTCTAACTTAATGATTCTGGGAAGAATGAAAAGTTTGATGAAAAGTGTGGCCACAACCATTGGATAGAAAACAGTGGCTTGAGGAAGGTATGCCATTCAGAGAGGTGAACAAGCTTATTTCCTTCTATTTTGGTGCGGGAAAAATCATCCCATCACAATGCTCACGACTGTATATTCTACTAGTGCTATACATACCTGAAGCTGAATACAGGGTGTCCCAGGGAAAAAAGTCCACCCCGATTTATTGGATTTGGAATAAAAATTAAATCAATCAATAAAATGACAACGGCTCAGCTATCACAAATTTCAATAATAAACTGTGCAATTGTTTTGAACCGTTCTAGAACCGTCCTTTTTTCGAACCCGAAAATAGCTAATGTAAAGTGCGACAAGTGAGTGAACCTGTGTGAAAGGAATGCGGGCAAAACGCTCCTGATTGACGCGAGATTAAATATACATATACGCGGGTCGTCAGGTCAGGGTAACCGCAATTTTTGCAATGCACCACGTCGGGGACCCGTCTTGTCGCGTCGTATAGTATAGGTTTTCGCCTTCCCCTCTGCTATTTCATACGTTACCAAGGTTCACTCACTTGTCGCACTTTAATGATATAAGGTTAGGAAAACTAGTTAGAAGAATCATAGATGTCGCTAGGTGTACGAAATAGTACTTTTAAATGAGTCCAAAATATATAAAAATAATTAAGAACAATAAATATATTTTTGTGACATTTCAAATGTTACAACGGATGAAAGTAATAGGACGAAATTCTAGGGCCATAAAGAACTCGATGAGACCTTTGAAAAGAGGCACGACACGATCCCTATCCCCTATTACAATTTGGGAGGTATTTCTCCCCGTAGGTAAGGGGTTGAAGTTTTTGTTTTTATACCTACCTAAGTAAATTCACTCAAGTGACATACAGGCTACAGGGTCATAGATTTGTAAATAATAATTTAAATTAAGTACCTACTCATATTTACTACATTTATTTCATTAATGAATGAAATCTATCAAGCCTAGCATTACCCGCATTTATAATTGGGTTTCGACAAATGAAAATACAGAAAATGCAATTTTTGAATTTCAAATGAGAGAAAATTAATTAAAATTGAACTTTTCCAAGTGCAAGTATGAAGAAATTCAACTAGAA